TATATAATTACATATGCATATGCCATATTTGCTTTTGTAGATGCATAGATATCTCTGTTTACCTTGCTGTCTTACCCAAATATTCATTTTTACACACAGACGTCAGCTTCCAAAGCAACTTAACAATATCCGTGAAAATTCAGGGTATAGCTGAAGATGCAACTGTGTCTTATGTTGATAAGAACGAACACAATCGGAGCAGGACAATTAGCTGTGCACAGGTAAATGGCAAATAAGACGCCTTTATCGTATGATCTTTTTGTTTTGCGGTATTATCGCACACAAATGTTTCCATTCATAATAATACAGCTGTCATTCATACACCACACAGCTCCATAATTCGGCAACATTACTTTGTTACTGATCATCGTAGACAGTACTACATTGTTGTTTAAAATCTGAGTAATTTGTAAAATTGTATTTGTCTATCTTCTGTTACAGAAATGTGAAGAAATGATAGTGGTACATCTAGGCTATTTGAACTATACACGCTACAAACTTTCGGTTCGGTTTGTCAATTTAAATCAGTTGAGATACCCAGTTACAGCAGTTACATTTACTGTGAGTATGTTATCATGTACAAATATTACTAATGATCCATCAATCCAGCCTACTATTTTACTGTCATCCTATTTTGCATAGAAATTCTTGTGTGTTGATTGCTAAAATTTGAAGAAAGTTATACACGTATGCAAGTTGAAAAAAAATCCTATTTAGAAGGTTTAACTGGAAAGTTATCTGACATAAATTCAGAAAATGACCAATAATGTTTAGCGCTGGCCAGTGAGTTTGACTATCTTCTGACTTCTTGAATCACACAAACATGCCGGTTGTAATGAGTAGAAGAGCCTTTGCAGGACAACTGAGAATTATTATCCTTTGCTGTGTTGTGGGTCTGCCCAGGGTATTCTAATTGTATGTACTTGGAATAACCTCAGGAGATCCTTCCAGGTGACCTCCACCTAAGATGCTTAGATGGTATTAAAAGGCAGCTTTTATTATCGAAAGGTATAGTTTGCTGGCACTTAGGTACTCAATGCAATTTCTATGTCTAAAGTAGGGATGCACCAAAATTTTTGTTCTGGATTGTGTTTCTGTTAAAATTAAAAAGCAAAATTGGCAACTGATGCAAAATCTTTCTGTAGTCTCTGTTTTGATTTTCAAACACTTTTATAATCCTCGACTTTAAATATAGGGAGATGTTTAAGTAGCCTTAAAGTTCTAGCATGGGTCAGCGGGTAAAACTCAAACCCAATGCAGCTTTAGCAAATTTTATCTTGTTCTTCGCTACTGCTTGCTGGATGCAAAAAAGTAAATATTTTCACCCAGTAGTGAGCTGCTGGGAAAGATATATATTTTTTTCACCTTAAATTAGACGGATATGTTTACGTAGATATGAGTTAAAAATGTTCTGATTTTAATATACATCTTTTCCAGTGGAAAACCTACAACCCAACCTTTTCACAAGTGGAGATCTGGTTTCGTTTTGTGTTTGTGGTCCTAACGTTCATGGTGACGGTGAGTGGATATAGCTATTGTTGGCATCTAAAAGTAAGCGAGTGGTTATAGCTTGACATGATGGGTGGATGGATCTTTTGATATTTTAAATTGGATTGAGCCCACATGGGACCATCATGTGAACATAACTCTGAGGCCATGCATGATGAGTGAGATTTATTAGCTGGCAATATTTTCTTTGTCTAAACTAAATACTTTCTCTAGCCGGCTAAAAATGTGTTCTGTTTCTGTCTAAGGCCGCCCTTTTGATGCGTGTAAAGATCTGAGATATTAACACCTGCACTCAACCACAAACTATGAAAGCCATTAGTAGCTGCCTGCAGACAATCATTGATCTGTGGATGTTCCTACAGATGGCATGCAAGTCTACAAATCAGTGGATCACAGAGTAAACAACTGAATTTTTAGAAAAGTGTACTTTGATTTTGGGATTCTCAGTTTTTGTGATGGTTGTGAGTGTTTGCTGAGATGGTAAGACCATCTAAGGGCAGTCTCTGGTGTATGTTTTAAAGAGATCCACCCTTGCCATGAGGTGTAACTGAGAGCAATACCTGGCTGCTCATCTGCAATTTTGGACAGATTGTTTATCCTAAGTTGCTGGAAAAGCATTTTACTTTCCCGTCCATTAAGGGGCACAGGGAATCTTAACCTTTTTAGGTTATACTGCCACCCACAAGGGGAACTGGCAAATGAAAAAAAACTGTAGGCCAGCCCAGGATAACCCCTCCTACCAGCATGCCTCAGTTTTTTGCTAGTGTTCTAGGAAGATGGACATCTTTTCTTTAGGTCTGATGTGATCTGATCTGGTCTTTTTTTTTTCCCCCACTCAAATGTTGCTGTAGTTTTGTATTTCTCCGTTTGCAGCTATACTATGTAGAAAGAAATTGTGCAGGAAGAAAACATTACCAAGCAGACTTCTCTCCTAGGCTCCTCTCACCGGACGCTTTTGAATCCGCGCTCTGATGCTCGGATTCATAAGTGTGAGCCGATTGGCTAGAGATTACATTTTTCATCTCGCCTAGCTGAGCACAGCAGGAGAGGATATTGCTAGACACACTGCATGCGAAGGTCTGCCCTTTGCAGTGCACGGCTCTGCATGCAGTGTGTCACGGGCTTCACTGGCTTAATTGTTTTTGCTGCTCAACCAGTGCCCCCCAATTTGTACACCCGGTTGTTACACCACTGACTCCACTCACACATACAACACGTACATATAATATACACAGCACGTATACAACACATAATACACACTAACTCAGGCTCTACAGCTCAATTCAGCCCATCCACAGCACGGGGAGGAATGAGGGAGGAGGAGGCTGAGACATGGGGGAGGCCGTGCCCGAACAGTCAATCTGCCCCAGAACTTTCTTCTTGCCTAAGGTATTCTCTGCCTTTCAATCAGGACATTGTTCTCCCATCCTTTTGTCCACCTCTGGTTCACCCAAAAGAATTTTCCCTCCATTGTCTAGATGTAGTCCAGGCTGTGCAAGTCCATCAGTCATTACTTCTATTAGACTGATTCCTTTTTGTCATGGGGGTGCACCTTCTAAAAACAAAATATGGGAGTTCTGTTTTGAGTCACCAAAGACAAAGAAATCAAGTGGTATGGTTTCATTCCTATGAGATTTGTGGAAATGTATTTGTTTGCTGGTTAAAGTGCATAAGGCATATATATGAACATGTAGTGTCTTTCTTTTGCAGTGTCTGTTTGCACATTCCCTTCGGAAGTTCTCCATGAGAGACTGGGGTATAGAACAGAAGTGGATGTCTGTCCTTTTACCACTGCTTTTACTTTATAATGGTATAATTTTTTTTTTTTTTTTTAATATTTTTTCCTTATTTCAAAAGGTTCGTTTTGTCAGGAGTGGGCTGCCATCTTCCCAGGGGATTTATACAGCTCGTGCAATTTTTTAAAAATACATTTACTATTGTGGGCAGACAATTTTATGTTAAAAGGCCAGTCCACCCAAAACCAAAAACTAATATTTCAGCGTAAATGGTAGTCGATAAATTGAGTTGCTCTTGAATTTTATTTTAGCTGTCACGTTCTCCCATCTGTGAGATGATCCCCCAGCCTTATTGATCTACTATCACTCTTACGAGATGATGTCTTTTTTATTTTGTGGTATTATTATGTACGTATGTATTTTAAATGCTTTGTGAATTTTATATGCTCATGTGCTTTGATCTATATTTGAATCTTAAGCAGATTATTACGCTACAGTTTTCTTGCCTTGCATTGCAAATTGATCTCCGACAGACAGGCTAGAATTTCAGGTAGATGGCTAGTCTGAACAGTAGTCCATTCTGATCACACAATGTTTCACCTGTTTCTTGCAGATCCATTCTTCCCTCTCACATTCCTGGTCAATAGCTGGTTTCCTGGCATGCTGGATGACCTGTTTCAGTCACTCTTCCTTTGTGCACTGTTGCTCTTTTGGCTTTGTGTTTATCACGGCATTCGGGTGCAGGTACACAATATAAATCTGTCTAGTCAGCAATAAATGTGTGTTTTGTTTTTTTTAATTTCATGTCTTTCATGTGTTAAGTTTTATATTTAAATTGTTTTCTTTAAATCACACACAAATTAATATAAAAGTACTTTCATATAGGGATGCACCGATACCGTTTCGTTTTTTTGGTATTGAGTACCGATATTTATATTTCGGTACTCTCTGATACCGATACTGGTACTTCGGTAGCATGGAGTCGTCTTCCCGGCCAATCAAGAAGCCAGGCAGTGGGTAATGACCAGCTGCCTGACTTCTTGATTGGCCAGGAAGCCGATTCCATGCTGATTGGGTTCCTGGCTAATCGGCATGTAGCTTGCCTCCCGGGCAATCAGGAAGCCAGAAGGTGGGTCACTACCCGCTGCTCGGCTTCCTGATTGGCCGAGAACCTGGCTCCATGCTGTTTGGCGGCACGATGCTCATTGGGTGGGTAGTCGGCTTCCCGGCCAGCTGTTTGGCACTTCCGGATTTTGTGGTCCATGGGCAGAGAGCTCTGGACACCTGCGCAGTCTGGTGGCCCTGCGATCTACCCGGTGACATCACAATCGATCAGAATCTGCAGATGCACAAGGAGAGCTGTCAGTGCATGGCTGGTGAGTACTGTGCCCTGCTATAGGGGGGCGCCCCTCTGCACAGTTCGTCTGCATTGCTGTACTTTTTCACTGGCCAAATAGCATGAAGTCTACTTGGCCGGGAAGCTGGCTCCATGTTCCATTGCGAGACTGCCGGTAAGAGGATATCTCCCTTTGACCAGAAGTTCCGGTATCGGGATAAATATCGGAGCATTTGGGCGAGAAGAGTACTCGCCCACACAGTCGGTATTGGCACCAATATTGATACGAATATCGGTGCGTCCCTACTTTCATATATGCATGCAAAAATACAATGCCATAAATTGTTTAAGGGTGTACCCTATGTTTTTTAATTTTATATAAAAAGAATTAACACAACTACTTTATTTTTTTTAAGTGCCTAATGATTGCTGATGATTTAAAAAATAGTGTAGTAACATGGCATTGAGTGTGTAACCTTCACTTGGACGTTATAGTAAATAAAGAACATTGCATTTTATAACCATATTGAGGTGCTGCATTAGAAAATGTTTACTTGAATTTGAGCCCTTACGTCAGTATGTTGCATATGTTTTTCCTTGTTTCATAGGGTGAGAGAAAGTGTATGACTTTCTATTTACCAAAATTGTTAATAGTTGGACTGCTGTGGTTTGCTTCAGTGACTCTAGGAATATGGCAAACGTAAGTACTGCTTATAGCTTTGTCAGTGATTTAGGCTTTAAGTGTAACAGGGTTTTTTTTAGCTAAGGGAATATTCTGCTTACATGAAACCATCGCCCAGACAATCCAACCCCAGGCAAATGTGCTATAGTTTGGGACTCTAGCCACAATTTTGGGGTAGGAAGCTGTGTTATTACAGATGTCTTTGTCCCTGTTTGTTTGTCAATTTCTCCTCATTTCCTATGTGGTCACTGGAACAGGAAGTAAGATAAATATTTCCAACAGGAATACGGGCAAAAAACCCTTTGACTGCTCTATATAAAACAGTGTATTATGAAACTGTCACACGTTGGCTCAATAGATCGGGAAGACATAACGTCGCTCGCTCACTTTCCAATCATTTCCCTGCAGAGTGGTGCCTGTCAGTCACCGCTCCCCTCAGGGATTCCCTCCTACCCTCTACGATCCTCCAGCGCTGATTGGAGGAACGGATGGAGGAGGAGGCGGGCACAGCTGGCTCTGCCTCTATAGCCCGCTGTCATTCACGCAGCTGGGTACATCTCGACAGCATTGTTGGGATCCGTCCCCGCTGCGGCGGTCTCGGTATGCCACAGCTGTAGCTCACGATATACTGAGCTTTGGGTCACGGGAGGAAGCTAGTATATGTGGAAATGGGGGAAAAAACGTACCCCCATCGTTCTCTTTTAACCACATGCCGTCTGCCCGTTGTGTATAAACAGACAGAATCACCCCCTAGCATGGGCATAAGCAGTTCACTGTGAACAGACTGTCCATTGGATAGAGAAGTTCACAAAACAAGGTACAGAGCCAATAAAATCCGCTCCATACCGTGTGATCACTGACACAAAATGTAAACCATGGCTACGGTTTGCAGCTTTTTCTCCCTTTCTTCTTTCTGCTTGAGAGGAAAGAGAGAGATCATAACATCAACTGCACCCTCCCCGTTCACCCCCATACCACCTCTCACTCACTAAGTCTCAACCCTCCCAGCATAGTCAATAAAGATAATTTTATGTATTATTTTATTTTGAACAGTGTTAACGAATTACGTGATCCAACCTACCAATACAAAGTAGATACTGGCAATTTTCAGGTGAGTGATGTGTGTATTTGTATAAGATGTGAAGTATGAGTAGATGTATGTATTTACTGATGACCAGGTTTAGGTATGGTTTTTGTCTGTGTAGATTTGAGAGCACAATTTCGTTTTGGTGCACAGTTTAGTCTCGTCGGCAGTAACACCTGACCTACCGCAATACTTAACGCCTTCATAATTATTAATTTTTAATTACTGTATCTGTGGGTCTGAAGCTTCTGTAGCCAGAGCCTTCCCACCACAAAAATTAAAGTAGTTGTACACCTTAACTGATTGATTGCCAATGTATTGCATATTATACACAATTGACTTATTTTAAATGGCAATAAAATAATTATTTTCACCTTTTCTCATCCTTTGTTGCATCTCAAAGCTGCTGGTCCCCTGCATACGGTGCTGCTCAGGAGCAGCAGTCTGTGTACAGTTAATACAAAACTGATAGCTGGAAGGGAAATTTTTTTTTTTTTTTTTTTTAAATAAATTCTTTATTTATACAACAGCACTTATGAGATACAGTCAAACATATAAAAGTCAGAGGATAAATTGTTACATACAATCATCAAAATGGCATCCGTCAGGGCCACTGCCCCCATGGGGGTTCGGACATAAATCAAACATACATCTATTAGGAATATCTCCAACACGGAGACGAGAGCCTATTAATCTGTCATCAGTGGACCTCCCTGCCTCAGTGCCATAGGGAAAAAGGGTTTTATGGCAGAAGTGAAGTATACAATTTCTTCTGCCATACACTATAAATCTACACGCTAACATTTATTAATTTACTTTTTTTAAAGAAGAGCTATACTCCGATTTACATTCAGGGCAAGGGTTACAAACACATTAAAATGTATTCAAAACCTTTCTTCCCATAAACAGAGAGGGCATAGTGTCCTCATTAACAAATAACTGTGTAAATGCCTATTCCTTGCCACAAATAAAAAAAAAAAAAATCTGGTTCATGGTCCATTGTGTCATTTCTAAATTAGACAAGAGTGACATGGTCTCTGACTACTAGATGCATTGTGGGTGCTTGAATTTACTACAGATATTAAAGGAGTATTACCACGCTGATGAGGTCGTCATGCTGCTCACTTTTTACCCTTGAAGCTTCCAGCGTTGATTGAAGTTTGCAAATCGGTACAGCCATATAGGCTCAATATGCAGCCCCTCCATCTTACAGTATGAGTCCTGCTGTGCAAGGGATAACCGAAGCAAATATAAATCTAGATTTGTAATGAGAGCTTGAGTTTAATGTTAAATGTATAATTGGAACAATTTCTTTTTTGTTTCTAATAACTTTCTTTGTTCTCCAATTTAGGGTATGAAAATTTTCTTCCTTCTGGTGGCAACAATGTACATCTTATATCTTCTGTTCCTCGTTATTCGAGCATGCACCGAACTTCGAAATATGCCATATGTTGGTAAGACATCTTACAAAGTGAACTGACTACTTTCTGTACTTAAAGGGGTTCTAAACCCTCCCGTTTTTTTGCTTATATCTACTGCTATTGTGGTGTGCTGTTCTGCATGTGTGTTGCCCAATGCTGTAATAGTGCATTTGGGTGGCATTAAAAATAAATGGTACTGAATCAAAGCACACCATGGCCCCCATCACTATGCATTGTAGTAGTGTGCAGTAAAAAGTGTTACTGCAACAGAACATGTAAATGGGGGTGCTGAGAGTATCTTTGAGTAGAGGAGTCATGCAGCTCACCATTGATGCCTCCAGCTATACTGTTGGTTGCTGTGCGATCTTCGATACCCTTCGCCCCTCACACTTGTCATTATAGCAAGTGTTCACTCCCTCCTTTCACATTTGGCTGTGCTCTTTTGTTTGATTTATCTGGAGAGGACCAGTGCTTGGAAACTTGGAACACACAATAGCCTATAGCACATGTACAGTATCTGTCCATTTAGTCTCCATTTACATCTAAGCGTGGCGCCAGTACACGCACATTCCCTCGTTTGCCATGCATTGCACCATTGATTTCAACGGTACCACACATGTGACAAATGCAGGAAAGATACTGCTAAGCACCGCCTGTGTTTTACCAGCCTCGTTTGGGTTGCCATTAACAAGTAATGGCACTGCCAGCACGTTGTGCACTTTTGATGCATTCCATTAACGTGCATTTGCCGCGTGTTCACGCTTTAGTGTGAATGGGGGCTTAGTGTATCTCTAGCCATACCGCTTTTTTGTTTTTCTGTTTTTTATTTTGGGTTTAAGTAATGAAAGGTCAAAACCACTCTGTGTCCCTACTAAGGAGATTCACCTTCTCTATTTATCCTGGCAATAGTTGTCACTGGGACAGAGACTGATGGGAAATGTGAAACATAGTTTTCATCGGCACAGGAGGCGAGGGGAAATCTTCCAACAGGGACGCCCGTTTCAGTGACAGCTTTCTTAATCACATCCCATCCCAAGCATTCCCATCACTTTGGAGAGACTTCCTCTCTCTTACTGTTGTGTCAGAGGGGACACCGCAGCCTTCCTTACTTTTTTCAAAAAGCTAAGCTAGAAAGACAAATATTTTAACTATACTTTGGGGTATGACTTTTCTTAAGGAGAACTGTGGAGTCAGGGCTTTTCCCCATAGTTCTCCTAAGGGTCACGGGAGGACATAAACTAGCGTTCTCTCGTGACCCAAAGCTCAGTACAGCTTGCGTTTATACTGAGACGCCACAGCCGGGACAGATCCCAACAATACTGTCTGGATCCACCCAGCTGCGGGATTGACAACTGGCTCTGCCTATCTAGAGGCAGAGCCAGTTGTACCTGCACCCTCCCCCCGTCCGTTTCGCCAGTCAGCGCTGGAGAATCTGACAGGGGAGGTGGGGAATCCCTGCAGGGAGTAGTGAGTGACAGTCACGGCTCTGCAGGGATAGTTCGAGAGGTGAACGAGCGACGGTATGTGTTCGCTCACTTCCCGATCAGTTTCATTGTCACAGGTCGGCTCAGATTATGAAAATCACTCGCCTCCTAATTCTCCTTTAAGTGTTGTGCTGGTTTTACTTGCATTGATATAGTTCTGCTTTTGATTTTATGTTTGTTCAAAAACATTTATTTTTTTCTGTTTTTCAGATCTGCGTCTAAAGTTTCTTACCGCTTTAACTTTTGTAGTGCTTGTTATAAGGTATGTCAGCATTATAAGTATATACAGAGATAATGTGCTTTGGAAGCAAGCATGATTGTTCACAATAATAAAAAGCTTTTCATGTGGATCAGTTATTAACTTTAATTTGCTGACATATATAAATGAGTCACATTACACGGAGATTAAGAACTGTCTGAAAAATGACAGTAGCTATATAAAACTGGCTTTTTGTTTGCTATTTAAGAGTTCAATGCATTATCCTCTTTTGTCTTGCAGCATTGTCATTTTATATCTAAGATTCGGCTCCCGAGTGTTACAGGATAATTTTGTTGCAGAGCTGTCTACGCATTATCAAAATTATATCCTTTTGCAACTGTTTGTTACCCTTTTATTAAAAATCTAATGAGTGGTATTCGCAACAGATTCACCACCTGACTTGTTTTGAAGATTGCAGTTGAACAATTTTATGCAGAATATGAATTACTACTGCTTGCTACAGCTTGTTTTTTTTACACTTTCCTCTCCTCCCTCCTGCTCTCTCTTTGGCTCTCTTCATCTCCTTCTGTGTGTGGGTCTCTCTCTCACGCTCTCCCCTCCCCCGTATGCCGCCTTTGCTGGCTGTTTACATGTAATCGCACATGCTACGATTATCTGCAAACTGTTTGCATCCAGTTGCGATTTTCCACAAGTGTGAATGGGACCTTCCATGCTGTTAAAGCAGAAGAGGCTGGGATCAACAAATTATAACACTGTCAGGGTTGCTAACCACATGGACGTCTTGTTCAAACTTTATTTGAATATTCTTTAGATTGTGTGTGTGAAAATAAAAATATTACTAATTAGGGATGCACCGACACCGGTATTTTGGTACCGAGTACCGATAATTTTTTTTCGGTACTCGCCGATACCAATTACCGAGTAACAGAAGTCCCAATCAGGAAGCCAGGTGGCGTGTAATGACTCGCCACCCGGCTTCCCGATTAACAAGAAAGTCCCCTCTTACCTCAGTATGTGCAGCCTGTCATCCCCTGGGGCCTCTCCAGCAAGAACGGGGGATGACAGGCTACACATACTAAGGTAAGGTAGCCTTACCTCACGAGGCCAGCTTCCGGTCAATCGCCAAACCGGGCAGCGTGTAATGACGCGCTGCCCGGCTTCCTGATACCGGAAGTACTTGTGCTAGGCATCGGAGCATTTGGGCGAGTACGAGTACTTGCCCAAATACTCGGAATCGGCACCGCTATCGATACTAGTATCGGTATTGGTGCATCCCTATTACTAATATATGTATTAAACGTATGGTTATCAGGAGATAGTATGACTTTGTTTTTCCAGAAGTGGTTTTCAGTTATAGTACAGGCTAGAAAAGCCAATCTCGGTTTCCCTTAACTCTTAACACCAGCAGAGTTCTTGTCCTTCTATGGCCTGCTGAACTTTTATCTATATACGTTGGCATTCGTCTACTCACCATCCAAAAATGCACTGTATGGTAAGTGTTATCCATTTAAGGGAAAAGCTTTTGTATTTTCATGTTCATATTGAAAGGCTACTGCCTCAGAGTAGTAGGGACGATGCAGGCTTATCTCCGCTGTACTGGGAGACCACCATTTTGGAGCCACATACCCCCAGCTACTGCGTGTTCTCCAGCTTTCTTGGTCCCTTAATGCTTGGTGCCTTGAAAACCACCATACAAGTTCTTATTGCTTATTATTGCTCTTGGGTGTCCGGGCGTTGCGGAGCTCAGATGTCTCACCAAGCAAGCCCACAACATATTTTTTTTACCACACCTAAAATTAATCCTTCCCACATCTGATCCATTGCCATTTTCATTGCTATTCCTTTACATCTAAGTGTCTAAAGATGCTCTTAAAACAAAAATCAATAAAAAAATATATGAAAGGATCATTTCAGTGACCTATGAACATTATTTATTTTTTTTTCTTTTAAAAACAAATATTGAGATAGATATACATCATTATAACTTCAAATATTGAGATACAAAGCAGTTTAAAGGAGAATTATGTGGCGAATGATTTTCACTCAGCCTCATAATCTGAGCCAACCTGTGGCAATGAAACTCAGGTCGGTTCAGTAGATCGGGAAGTGAGCGAACACATACCGGCGCTCGCTCACTTCTCGATCTATCCCTGCAGAGAGCCGTGACCGTCACGGCTCCCTGCAGGGATCCCCACCCTCCCCTGTCCGATCCTCCAGCGCTGACTGGCGGAACGGACGGGGGAGGGGGCAGGTACAACTGGCTCTGCCTCTAGATAGGCAGAGCCAGCTGTCACTCACGCAGCTGGGTGGATCCAGGCAGAATTGTCGGGATCTGTTCGGCTGCTGCGTCTCAGTATACCGCGAGCTGTAGCTCGCGGTATACTGAGCTTTGGGTGACTGGAGGACGCTAGTTTGGGTCGAAAAGCCCTAACCCCATAGTTCTCCTTTAATGAAAATATGATTAGGGATGTCCCGATACCACTTTTTTAAGTACAAGTACTGTCCCTCATGTACTTGCCTATATCAATTACCGATACTTTTTCTTAAAGGGACAGGCCACATTTTTTTCCTAAAACAACACAGACTGATGATTTTAGGGCAGTTTCTCAACAGATCTCACCAGAACTGAACACATGTCCCCACAGCAGAACACATGTCCACAAAGCAGGATACATGTCCCTAAGGCAGAATAGTATTCTGCTTTGGGAACATGTCTTCTGCGAACACATGTCCCCAAAGCAGAATTCCTCTCACCAGGCTGCGTGCCGATCTCACCGGGCGACGTGGACATCTGCGGCTGCTCTGCGGGCACTCCACCACACCGGCGATGTCAGGACCATTCCTCCCCCACGTCCAGTCCGGCCGACTCTCTGCGCTGCTGGGCACCGCAACTTTTCTACATCTCCCGGTCCCCGTCAGTGTGCGGCGGAAACCCTAGCTTCCAGCCCCGGGGCTGTCCATGACAGTGCCTGCGTTGGGAAGGAGGAGATAAAGAACCGGACAAGCACTGCCATGGACAGCTATCTCCTTGTCCCCACAAGCGCAGGAATTTGGACGGCCGCTGCTACTTGAAAATTTAAAGGGCCGGTGTCGGCCTTAAGAATCGGGGCATTTTCACGAGTACTGAAAATGCCTGGTATCGGGACATCCCTACTAATGACATATGATGAAAATATGAATTGTGATTTATTACAATTGCATCGATTTAATTTACTTCTATTTCTTTACAGAATCACAGTTAAAAGATAATCCTGCCTTTTCAATGCTCAATGACTCGGATGATGATGTAATATACGGGTAAGATTTTTGGTTTTGTCCATTTGTGGTGAATATTTTTTTCATGGCAGCCGATTTATTTTTATTTGTCCCTCAGTGTGCATCAGCACATGAAATAAACACTAGTGTTATTTTTTACAATGCAGCACACTGCAGTGCAGTTTTGTGTGCTATAGTGCATGTGCTATTTTGGGGTGATTTTTAGCAGGGATGCACTGATATATCGGTTATTCGGTATCGAGTAAGAGGGCTGATATTTTTATTTCGGTACTCGCCAATACTGAACGTCCCATTAAGGAAGCCAGGTGGCGTGTAATGACTAGCCGCCTGGCTTCCTCATTAGACGGGAAGCCGGCTCCATGCTCCCTCGTCACCAGGTGACAAGGAAGCATGGAGATGGCTTTCCAGCCAATCAGGAAGCCAGGGGGACGGTAATGACTCACACCGGATACATTGCGCTGAAAAAAAGTGCATGTTTTACTTCTTTTTTTTTTTCCAGCACAATGCAACGGAGCAGTGTGAACTAGCCCCATTCACACCTATTCATTTTTCGGTGCCCTTCCGTTGGCATCTGTTGAAAAATCGTAACGTTTCACTGCGAAACAGATCCGGTTTATATGGGCCCTTCCAGATGGTTAATCATCCTCTGTAATTTAAAACCCAAAAACCAGAAAGATTCACCTGCAGTGATTGATTTGATTATTGACACGGTCACTGCTTTATGACTGTACCCCTAAAGGTGCCCATACACCTTACGATCGTCGTACGATAATCGTAAGCGATCGACTTTTCGTACGACAATCCTAACGTGTGAATAGAGTGCCCGACCGATAGTACTGTACAATCATACGACTTTTGACGGTCAAGCATGTTTGGAAACTTTGTTCGATCGTACGATGTTCACATGGTTGGTGGTGCTTCTGTCCGTCAAAAGTCGTACGATTAACACTGCGCAAACGAAAATAATTACGGTCAATTGCCGCAAGTCGTCCAGGTGTTTTTTTTCTAACGACCGCTGATTGAACCTTGCGATTATCGGGGCAGGATAGGGTAGCAGAAGGCACGCTGATCACTGTAGCAGAAGGCACAGTATAGCAATTGTCAAATTTCACAGCAGTGAAGTGAATTTCAAAGCATTGAAGTCACCCAAGTAAAACTTTCAGCATATTATGTCACCCTGCTCCCTCCTTCCAGCAGTGAATCGGCAACCTTTTTATTGTTTAAGGCAGGGGTAGGCAAACTGTAGCCCTCGAGCTGTGGTGCCAACTACAAATCTCATTAGGCATTGCTAGACCCAGACAGGCGTGGCTCCTAGAGGTAGATGCATGTTGGGATTTGATGTTTCACCACAGCTGGAGGGATGGAGTTTACCTGCCCCTGGTTTAAGATAAACACAGAATAAGTGTTATGGAAGGAGGGAGTAGAGTGGGCTGAGCTGCTGAGAGTAGGACTGTTCAGTACTTCTGCTGTAAACATTGAGGATGCATTGCTCCTCAGTGCTGGCAGCTACAGATGGTAGTGGGGGTTTTTTTTTGTTTTTTTTTAAGCCTATATACTATGTATTAAGAATCTATAAATATTTAAATGTCCTTAGCCTGACCACAGATTCCCATTAAGTGTGTTTGACAAACTATGTTGCTTTTACTTAGAGCAGCACATAACGATTATTTCCATTCATGTTATAATATGCTATGTTTTAAGCAGGTGACATAAAAGCTTTTTTTATATATCTACATGTTCACAGGAGTGACTATGAGGAGATGCCTCTTCAAAATGGAAAAGCCATAAGAGCTAAATATAAAGATGAATCTGATAGCGACTGAGTGGAATGTGATCGTCCCAACGGAGTGTCTTCAAGTGGAAGAAACATTCCGAAGGATGGACAGTTTCCTTTTACCACAACTTTGTTGTTATGGATTGCTGCTCTTTCCACAGAGGATTTTTATGTTTTATGTGTTTTTTGTTTTTTTTGAAAACCAAATCCTAATGACACAGGGGAGCCCTGAGGACAGATGTCAGTCTGTTTTGTAGTGTATACATTGAAGCTACAAACCACCATGTTCTAATTGCTACTTCCAAAGCACAGCAACCTCTGTCAATATTGTTTTTAATTTTATTTAGCAAGTTGCTGGAGTAGCTTGAATCTTAATTGGAACAAGTCCTCTGCAAGTGTGGATGTGATGTCTGTATGTTTTATTGGATCCGATTCTTCATTCTTTAGGAGATTGTATTTAATGAACTTTGCTGCACAATTTCTTTTTAAATGTTGGTGTAAAGTCCCTTCTTCCATTGTTTTATATTAAAGGGTGTGAAATAAGGTTTACATGAAGGACATCTGTAGAGGTACTTTATCCTGTAGAAATAGAAGCTGCACTAATTTGAAAAAGGGATGATTCACTACTGAATGATCTAATTAATTTGGCCAGCTGATGAGCTTAGTCTTCAGGGCAGTCATGTAGATTAACCCTTTGTCTATAGCAGAGCTGCTCCCCCGATGAGACACTGGATGTCAGTGTGCCATTTCTCTTTAACTCCAAATTGTATAATACTGAGAATTAAAAGGGAAACCTGGGATTCCAATAAGGCCTGACGCTCACATAGGCATCTGTCCATCTGTGCTGTCAGTTTGATGTGCCCCACACAGCAACAGCTACTGTGCTGTTTCCCTCTGGTTTAAAGATGGCTTCTACTTTTTGTGTATTTTTCTTAGGGGTTGAAAGGGGTAACATGGTAAGTGGACTAAATAGTCCTCCCTGTTATCCTTAAGTATTATATCCCCCCGCGCAGCAGATTATCTTTGCTAAAGTCGTTCATAGAGTCTTTCCCCTGGTGGGGCAGATAAATCTACTGTTTAAAGCAGATTCAGCCAGTACTAAATCCTTTTCTCAACATAAACCCCCTTAAGGCATACTAGCAATACACGTGTGAGTAAGTCTCTGTTGTATATGTTGTTGTACATGTTCCCATAACTATGCACCTCTGCATGTAAGATCAAAGCAGTGTGAAAATGACTGTGTACATGAGCATTCACAGTACACTTGCTATAACCAACTCCATGGCTGCAGTGAAGGGGCTGGGGAACTTGGCTCATGGAATTCTAGGCTGTGATCATTGTGTTTAGACAGTGATCACATGAAAAGGCTGTGTTTGTCCTAACTCTGCTTTATCTTAAAAATTGATCGTCTACCCATAAGCATCATTAAACCAGGGGTTACAGACTGTGCTGCCTAATCACTAGTCTGCATTTTGTATACATGTGTGAATTGTAGGAGCAACAAACGACTGGTAGCATTCTAGTTATAAAAGCACAAAGAATTCCTGGCAGTAAATGGGTTAAACGCACTGGATTTTTAAATGTTTACAAAAAAAATGATGGTTCTACTCAGTTACATGCATAAGGATACTTGAAGAGGAAAGTTATCACTCTGACCATGCCAAAATCTGGAAAGTTTATTAGAACTTTTCACCAATTTTGGCCAGGACTTTCAAATGTCCCCTGGGTAACACTATATTTTCTAACTGGTCATTGTGTACTTTTAAGACATCCTGCAAACTCCAAGGGCAGCAGATCTTAAATGATCAGGGCATTTATAATTATAGAATGAGTCTAGAATGCAAAATTGGAACTACAGTGCATTCTGAGGTATATGCTGCCTTTTAAGTACTTCTATACAGAACTGAAAACTTGGGACCCCATGGTTTGTATATTGGTAGGTTTTTTTAAAGGGAACTCCAGGTATGTTACTAGTGAGCATATATGTTTACAAAATGGGGAGACCTGATGCATACAGTCAACCTGCGAAGGAGAATTGGAGATACTATACATAGACTGTGTCTACTGGCAAATTCATGCTTTAGTACCTGTATGCCTCTGAATTAACGTCCCCACCATTTACATACTGTGCCATAAACCGCAGCAGTGCTATTTCTTCTATGGGTGCTGCAGCTTTTCCAAGCTGTCTGATTTAGTTAGCACCCCTTCTTACTTGCAAGAGGAATCCTCCCTCAAGCACACAGGTGGGAACAGCAGAAGCATGGAGGGGAGAGTGCCTAAAAACACGACTGCCAAGATAGAAACGCTTTAACAGCAGCCTGCCTTTGTTGACCAGTAGCTACAATATTTTTAATATAAAATAGACATGAGAGGAGGTTTCCTTTCATTTTGAGTATACAATACAGCTAATGAGAGATGTCTTATGGACTGTTCATGCTTGGCTTTAAGTTGCATTTCTAAAACGTGAAAAAATTAAACCCAACATTGGCTTGTAAGGTAAAAAGTTTTACATTCTTATATGATCTTGAAAAGATTCAGACATATCGAAGTGGCAAGCCATAATTGTCAGCTGGCCAGGATAAAGTTTTCTCTTTGCACATAAGCAGTAAAGTTGTGTTTTTAGAAGTATAGTATGCACGTTGCTTCAATGTTTTCCCTGGCAGTAGTTGGCTTATACAGTTTAAATTCCCAACAAAATACATTTTTTAATTTCATAAATTATTGTTCGTTTTTAATTATTAAATCATGATTATTCTACTCTAGTTGTCTGTAAAATTGCGTGGGTTTTCTTTGTCAGTGGATGAAACTACTCCTTTTTTTTTTTTTTTTTTTTAAACATGCCTTTAATAAAACCTAAAGTGGCGCTCTGGGCAAACAGCTAAACACAAAATATGGGAGCTGTTTAACCTAGCAAAGGTTTTGTAGTCCTCAATCCAGTCCTGAGATTTACACAGCCCTACCACACAGCAGTCAGGTTGGTGAGTTGACTTTTCTCTATTGAAGATGAGTAACAGAGCTATATCCCTTCCCTGTCCCTAACCTGTGACTGGACAGTAAAAGAGCAGCAGACTGATGAACAAATCCCTCTATTTCCTTCTTTCAACCTTGCTCCTTGTCAGTACATGTGCATGCAAGAAACTTGATTGATTCCCAATGCTGTACCTCCCATTCCCAGTCTACATTTCTATTGTCTAAAAGAGGGCAAGAAGCTAAGAAGTCAAATTCAGGCAATCAAAGTGGACTTTACACTCCACTCCATTTACTGTAACACAGTTCAATAGCGTCTGGGATCTCCCCAGAACAGCGATGTCACCCTTGCCTAGGACCCGGGGAATACGGTAAATATACTGAAATATTTACAAGTGAATATTAAAAAAATAAAGTAAAAGTGTAAAACTTTTTAAAATAAAAACTAAAATCAAGCAAAAGCGCTCACAATAAATGAGCACCATGTATAGAGCATGCACAGCAGAGGGCAGTTCCAGCTTTCCCACCAGTACCTCACCATCAAATCCTCCAGCTGATTCACCCCAAGGATCGAACGATGTCAGGTGGGCGGTTGCTGACAGGGCTACCAACGGAGTGAATTTCGGACGGTTCACCACTTTTTCAGTGTGAACTAGTTTCCTCCTTCCATTTGTCTTGTTGAAATTTACATACAGTTTTTCATCTTAGTTAGACTTTGCTGGCCTCTACAGTGACCTAGTCCCCTCCAGCCATTGCTTCTCTCCTCTTTTTGAACACCATTTTTTTTTTTTTTACTTCGTGTCTTATATTATGTTGTCTCAGTCTAGCAATGTAACATGTCGGATCTTAGGTGCAAAAGGAGCAGTCCTGCAGTACTGGGTCTCTCCAGCTCATGATCCACTAACAGTTTTGAGGCAGCCTGCAGTGTCCCTCAGGGATCTTCTACGAACAGCCTAGATTGTTATCCTCTACTCTAGTCCACACACTCTTCAGAGACTACTTTTAGTTCCATCAGGTGTGGCCCCCCTCCTCTGCCTGATCCACAAAGGTGTGCTCTGCAGCTATGGAGGATTTTCTGGATAAATTGCTGACTAGGAAGGTAGAGACCATAAGCATACCCCTTTTGCCTTCTCCTCCCGAATCTTTATCTGAGATTCCTGCAGATGGAGCGACTTCTTGACCCTTCTGCTTCAGATATAATGTATAAAGAGTTCATAAATCTGTTTTGGATGAGTTTGTTCTTGAGGAGCCACAACCAGAGGATATAGCTCCAGGAGTACCATAACAGTTCTTATTGATGCAGTGCAAATCAGCTTAAAACTGCAACAGGCTATGGCTGATACTAGTGTTGTCACCAGTCTGGGATCCTTGTGCGGCCCCAAAATACAAAAAAACTCTTCTGGTACACTCGTTACTGGAACCTGTCAAGTATGGATACTTGCCAACTCCTGATAAGTTATTCACCCCAACTCCAAAACAGTTTATTTAATCCTAGGATCGGGCTACTGTCGTCGCTAACTATTTAGTTGTAGAGCTCTTGGAGCTTATGCCTATAGCCCTAAACTATTGTATGGATGAGTTGGTAGATATTTTCCCTATTTCTACTGTCAGTGAATATGCAGAGAGCTCTTTGGCTACACTGTTGGTCCACTGAACAGAAATATGAGAAACGCTTACTCCCCATGCATTTTGAGGATGAACAACTATTTGATGCATTTTTGGACAACTTCATAAAGAACGTTACTGGTGGTAAGAGTGCTCATTTGCTTTAGAGGAAGAATCCTAGGCCTCTGTGGGGGAAGTTTCCTCCTGCTTCTGCAACGAAGATGGTTTCTTCCAGGTTTCACACTCTAAAGTGAAACCCAAATCAGCGGCTCAATTCATTTAGAAACCTTGGGTCCCTAAACCAAACCTCAAGCCTGCAAACAAGTCCTATTTGTCATCATGGGTTGGTCTCACTTTGAAAAATAGGGAGATCTGTTGGCCTTCACGGACACCTGTACAGAAAGGAGCTTAGATGCCTGGCTAAGAGATGTGGTGTCCAGGGGCTGAAAGCTAGAGTTCCGTTTTCTACCTTCACCCTGCTTCATGTTGTCCAATGTACCTGTGTCCTTGCACAGACTAGCAGACCTCCATGCTGCTCTGGCAAATCTTTGAGGCAGTGGAAAGGTATCAGAGTTTTCATTGACACCTTTTCACTGTTCAATCAAACAACTGCATCTGCCCCATCTTGGATCTGAAAGCTTTTAATGTGTTCATTCAAATTCAAAATGTTTTCATGGACTCCACAATGTATTTCATAGCTCCCCTTCAACAGGGATGATTCCATCTTTCCAATGCACCTTTGCTACTTCTGTTATGCTGAGGGCAAGCAAAACTACCAGTTTGTAGCCCTTCCATTTGGTCTATCTTCCGAACCCAAGTGTTTATCAAAATATTAGCACCTTACTATGCTCTCAAGGCATTTCAATTGTGGGATACCTTGGAGATTTCCTATTGAGGGAACAGTTAGCACAGACTCTGTCTGACAATGTGATGCAGAGAGTAGAGACCTTAAATGGGTTCAGTTGGATCCTGAGCCTTCAGAAATTGGTGCTGGATTGACTCATCACTTGGAGTATCTCCGTCTCATGCTGGACACATTTCGAGCCAGAGTATTTCTTCCCCCAATAAATGTCTGACTCTACGCTCTCAGACAAACTCTGCAAATCTGCATGGGCTTGATGGTAGCCTCTTTCAAAGCATTCTTATATGCTCATTTCTATTCCAGTTCTCTACA